CCACTTTGGTGCTTCGAGGTAGTGAATTAAAGAAGTGAAAGTGTTACAGCAACAACAGAGGCTGCTGCGCTGCGCAAGACACAGAAAGGAGCGCGATGTGTCGTTGATGAGGAACACGGAACTGAGTGTGTGGCTGCTAGTGGCTTTAGACAAATCCTCGGCAGAGACATTTCAAAAGGAAAGTCTGAACCAAATGTAATGGGCCAAACTTATTTGGATCCTGATCCAAACATTCATTTATGAGACAACGGAGGAAATTTGAAAACTGACTGACTAGCTGATGTTATTAATGTTAAATTTTTTTTAGTACAATAATGGCATTGTGGTTTTATTTTGAAAAGTTCTTTTTCTTTAGTGTTACATACGGAAATGTTTACAGGAAAAATGACATGATATCTGGAATTTATTTTAAACTATTCTGAGGTTAGGGAAAGCAAGAAGGTAAGCGTGAGGAAGAAACAGTTTTGACTATGAGTAAATAACAGGGACAGGGAATGTGTGCATGAGGGATCATTATACTGTTCTATCTACTTTGGGTTTATATTTAAATTATACTAAAAAATGGCTGGGCACAGTGGCTCACATCTCTAATCCCAGCACTTTGGAAAGCCAAGGTAGGAGGATTGCTTGAGGTGAGGAGTTCAACATCAGCCTGGGCAACATAGCAAGACCCTTGTCTCTGCCAAGAAAAAAAATGTAGCTGGGCATAGTGGCATGTGCCTGTAGTCCCAGCTACTTGTGAGGCTGAGGTGGGAGGATCACTTTAGCCCAGGAGTTGGAGGCTGCAGTGAGTGATGATCGCACCCCTGAACTCTAGCCTGGGCAACAGAGTGAGATCTTGTCTTCAAAAAATTATTTAAAATAAGTCAATAAATTATAATAATGATAATAAAATAAGCTGGCCAGATGCAGTGGCTCATGCCTGTAATCCCAGCACTTTGGGAGGCTGAGGCAGGAGGATTGCTTGAGCCCTGGAGTTCAAGGCCAGCTTAGGCAACATAGCAAGATGCCATCTCTACAAAAGAAAAAATATATATACATATATACATATATATATATATATATACACATATATATATATATATATATGTATATATATAAACTAGCAGGGCATGATGGTGCGCACAGACGCTCTAGCTACTCAGAAAGCTAAGGCTTGTCCCCATCAAGGGCCATGCCCAAGCCCGCTGCCATGTGTGCTGCGCTGAGTGAGTTATGAGGTGCAGGAGGATTGCTTGAGCCCAGAAGTTGGAGGCTGGTGATAAGCCCTGCATCATGTCTCATTGGAACCGAAGGACAACTCCTCACAAGCCTCCTGACTTCCACCCTGGCCGTGCTCCTACTCTCTATTTCCAGCACAGCAGCAAAGTGAGCGCTTTTTAAAAATTATCCCTAGGTCAGTTCACGCCTTTGTTCAGGACCTTGCACAGGCTCGTCTTCCCACCCAAAGTGAAAGCCTGCAAGACCTGGCCCTCACTCCACCCTGCAGGAACCACAGACCCAGATCCCCCTGCCAGGCTCCATTCGGAGGCCTTCATACCTCCTTTATCTGGAACGCTCTTCTGCCATCATCCACTGGCTTTCTGCTCCAGGACTCTGCTCACTTATCACCATCTCCGCAGAGCTGCCCCTGCCCACCAAATGCCCCTTCTGCATATCCAACTTTTTTTGGCACTATTCAATTTCCTCTGATGCTGTATTTTTCCTTTTTTCTACTTGCTTTTTTTCTACTTTCTAACGTATTATATAACATACTATTGTATGATGTGTATCCCTTATTTTCTGTATCTGAGCAGAGAGAATTTAATCTCAGCTTGGCTCACTGATATACTCCACACACCTAGAACAATGCCTGGCATGTAGTAGGTGTTCATTAAAATGAGAAGAATGAGAGCATGGATATGTGAAAGCTGATTTTCATTCTATTCCAGCCACTTGCAACCACAAAATTCATCAAACATATCTATTGACTTGAATTGTCCTTCTTGCTAGAAGACTCTGCTGATGTTGATCAATGTTTTACACCACCATTTTATTGGTTTTACTACATTGTAAAACCAATGTTTTACACCTTTTCCTTTGTAGAAAAGGGAAGCATCTCTGCTTGTGATCACTATTCATGTACCTGGATAAAAATACCAATCAATACATTTCCCATTATACTTCCTGCATAGAAGGTTTTCATTTTGCTGAGTTTGCAGTTGTTATTTTTAGGACCTCTTACTGTTTGTGACTTTGCCATTTAGATTCTGCCAAAGGCTCTGCTTCTGATCAGAGGCCTTCTGAGAACTGCCATCCGATCAGCCCGTGGCATTTACCAGGTACCTTCTCAGGGTGTTGAGCTCTTACATGATGCAAAGCACAGCTGAGACCTCATCAGCAGCTCAGCCATGACGTTCTTCAGGTCCCACATGATTCACTTCTTGCTCTTTAACTGTTTCATGGAGGGAAATTTTAAATCCTGGCTTCCCCCTCTAATGAGTTCCCATAAATGTGCAGGGGTGTTAAAAATACAAAATCCTAGCAAACGTTTTACATGTTTTACATGATATAACAGCAGGCTCCAATCCAGCAAAATAAAAATAAATAAAATGACTAATCCTATTATAACTGTTTACTTAATTTTTACTCTTGGGTATTACTAATTATTTGTCTCAGCCTTGCAAAGTGCTGTGATTACAGAAATGAGCCACTGCACCTAGCCAACTTATTTTATTACTAACTTATTTTTAAATTATTTTTTAGAAACAGGGTCTCACTCTGTTGTCCAGGTTGGAGTGCAGTGATATATTCCTTTTAGGAATATATATAGATATCTATATCTAGACATTTATAGATATCTATATCTATATATAGACATACATTTAGGAGATATATATATATATATATATATATATATATATATATACACACACACACATATATGTATATATTCCTAAAGGTAATAAGTAGCTGAATTAACAAAATATGGCATTTAGGTGCACATGAATATTATTCAGCCATAAAAAGGAACACATGCCTTAACATGGATGAATCTTGAAAACATTCTGCTAAATGAAATAAGCCAGACACAGAAAAACAAATATTGTATGATATATATATATATCATACATATATACACACATATATACATATATGTACATATATAGATCTATTTCATACATATATAATACAATATATATGTATATATACACAGACATATATACACATATTTATGGACACACACATACATAAGACAAATTAAAAACCAAAAGAAGTAAACAGTTTATCAATTTTCTAAAGCATTTCAATAACCCAAGTTTGAGTTCTCTCAGCTCATGTGAAATAAAATTCCATAGACAGAAGTATAATTTACTTTTAATTATTTATTTATTTGAGACAGCATCTCATTCTGTCACCCAGGCTGGAGTGCAGTGACACAATCTCAGCTCACTGCAGCCTCGACCTTGAGGGTTCCAGCAATCCTCCCATCTCAGTCTCTCAAGTAGCTGGGACCACAGGTGTGCACCACCACACCCAGCTACTTTTTTGTATTTTTTGCAGAGACAGGGTTTTATCATGTTGCTCAGGCTGGTCTTGAACTCTTTAGCTCAAGTGATCCACCTGCCTTGTCCTCCCAAAGTTCTGGGATTATAGGCATGAGCCACCATGCCCAGCCAGTATAAGTATAATTTCATGTTGGAAAAAACCACTTGCTACTGCTAATTTTGCAGAAAAATAAGAGAATATGATGATCATGTTGATGGAATCTTGATTCCCTAAATATCATGTCAAGAGAAAAAACACAGCCTTTCTTCTCATGAGAAAGAGCCGGTAGTGTGTTGTCTTCCATGTAACTGGTCTACATAGTTTTGAACTACTCTCTGCATTTGGGTCATTGCAATATTTTATTGCTATTTTTTTCATTTGTTTCTTCTCTCGTTGTTGCTTTTTAAAAAACATATTGTGGTAAAGATATATAGTGGCATCAAGTACATTCACCACTATTTCCAGAACTTTTTTTCATCCCAAACAGAAATTCCATACCCATTAAACAATAACTCCTTTTCTCCCTGTTCCTCCGGATTCCGGAAGCCTATACTTTATTTTCTGTCTCTAGGAATTTGCCTATTCTAGGTAAATCCTCTATGTGGAATCGTACAAAATTTGTCCTTCTTTCTGGCTTATTTCATTTAGCAGAATGTTGTCAAGGCTCATCCACCCTGCAGCATGTGTTCCTTTTTATGGCTGAATAATACTCATGTGTACACAAATACCAGATTTTGTTAATTCGGCTACTCATTACCTTTTAGGAATAACTGTGGATGATCTATTTCCAATGCCTTGGATATGTTCTTTAACATGCTTTTTTCTTTCACAATGAGATTGTGTGACATAAGTTGTATATATACAAATTTTAAGACAGGATTATTACCCCTGAAACTCAGAGTCACACTGGAGAGGTAGCCACATGATATAGTATGGATATCTGTCCCCACCCAAATCTCATGTTAAATTGTAAGCCCCAACGCTGGAGGTGGGGCCTGGTGGGATGTGTCTGCATCGTTCCTCCATGAGGAGTGGATTCCTCATGGCTTGGTGCTGTCTTTGCAATAGTGACTGGGTTCTCATGAGATCTGGTCACTTAAAAGCATGTGGCACCTCCATCCCAATCCCTGGCTCTCTTGCTCCTGCTCTAGTCGTGCGACGGGCCTGCTTCTCCTTTGCCTTCCACCCTCATTGTAAGCTTCGTGAGGCCTGGGGAGGCCAGACAGATGCTGGCACCATGCTTCCTGTACAGCCTGCAGAACTGTGAGCCAATTCAACCTCTCTTCTTTATAAATTACTCAGTCTCAGGTGTTTATTTATAGCAGCGCAGGAACGGCCTAATACATCAAGTAAACAGATTATTCCACCACAACAGAGAGCAGTGTGACGGGGCCACGAGGTCACAAAGGAGAGAACAAAGGAACTGTGGCTGGGGCATAGAGTTTTCAGTGAAGCAGCAACATCTGACCAGAGTTTTGAAGAATGAGTAGAAGCTCTGTGTCAGATGAAAAAGGGATGGGAGGCTCTCCAAGCACAGGGACCACTCACGTCAAGACATGGGGCCAAAAGAGAGGACATGTTTGAAGAAAAGAGAGTAACTGAAGACTATTGTTCAATCAGTGACAGTCTTTTTGGAGGTTAATATCAAAGGCAACCTGAATTTCCTGACTTCATGAGCTGGTGGTGAAGGGTGAGATCACACAAGCAGTAATAACCCAGCTCTCCCTGGCTCACTGCCTTCCTTACTGGCCTTCTGGTCCCAGGTAAAGCTGTCCCCATGACTCTGGGAGTCTTGATTCCTCTCCTTCCACTCCCCTCAAATGTCCCTGCATTCAACATCACATGGGGACTTGACTTATCTCACCTCTACTCCTGTGGGAATGCGGAGGTCAGGCCAGAGCCTGATAGTGCTGTACTTACTATGCCCAGCTCCAGGGAGTATTACACTCCCCAGAGACTTCACTATGCCCAGCTCCAGGGAGTATTGGCCGGAGAAGAGAACCAGGCATCTCCCCTGCACTCTGGGCCCACAGCAACCCTGTAAACCAGACCATATTAGCATTGCACCTCCTTCCTTCAGAGGGCTGAGACTTCAACCATGGGACCTGGGTAGTGATCACCACAAAATTTCTCCCTGAAAGTTCTTCTCGGACAACTTCTCACATTCAGTTATTCATTCAACAAACATTGAGCAACAACCTAATCTTCTGGGCACTGGAGACTGAGTTAAAAAGAAGACAGCAGGCCCCTGTTCTCGTCAAGCTTATTGTCTAGCATGTGGTCTGAGGGTCTTTACACCCACCAAGCTCAGAGAGTTTGTGAGCACCACGTTGATGCCCTGGGTGAACAGTGCTGAATGGGAGAGGCCCTACTTCCCAACAGGCCATGGCATCTTGAGTGCTAAGACCATCATCACAGGGTGAGGAGGAGAATAGTGCTCAGAGGGGTAGAACCTCCCGACAGGGCAGAACGGCTCATGCATCGTGCCAAGGTCAGGAGGTCAGTACCTACCGTATCTTCCTCTCCTCCATCCCTGCTTGTGTTTGAGGTGTGTGGGGCCCGGCCCAGGCTGGCAGCCAACGAAGCCTAAGTGGTTCCAAGACTAATCAACCCAGCCCAGCGGCCAGCTGCAGGAGTCTGGCCAGTTTATTACTTAAAGTTCCCCAGAGTCCTTGCTGGTTCTAAGCCTAGGACTCCTGTCAACTCTTGACATTACCCTCCTGCCACTCCTCACACCTAACACGTACACATACATAAACACACACACACTCCTCTGCTTTGCATTTTATATCCCAACCATCCAGAGTTTCTTACTATTTTCCAAATTAAGTCTCTATATGCCCTCTTGTCTGTGCACCTAAGCTGCTACCCTTGGCTGGAACAAGCTCCCCTCCCTCCCCGTCGAGCACCTATTTGATCCTTCATGACAGCTTAGGTATCCAATACCTCCTCCAGGTGACCTCTCTTGGCAATCCCAGTCTAGGTCAGGTCTCCCTCCTACTGTAGCCACGTTACATTATGTTGAAATGCAATCTAAATGAACTGGTCAGAGGTCTGTTTACACCACAGAAATAAGCTTCTAGACACGGGAACTAATGATATCTTACTCATTGCTGTCCAGATAGTAGAGTATCATTCAGAGTTGATTAAATGAATGAATGGGTAAATGGTAGAATCAACGTGGAAGAGCTCAAGACAGTTGCCACAACTGGGCTGGATTTCTTGTCACTTTTAACTTGTTACCAGTCAGTCACATGGCTTAAAAATGAATTAGACTAAAGATACAGAATCAAATACTTGCTTCAGTTTCTAGTCAATTGACTGATTAGATCAATCCATTGCAACTGCAGGGCTCTTTTTGTAAAGATGGAAATTCTACAACACACCTTTCCGCAAAATCTCTCTCCGTGAGTACCAGGTTAATTCATTAATGACAGATTTTAATTTTTAAAACCTAGTGAATTATATTTTCATAAATAATGCCATGCAATCATTACTAAAAATGTTTTTAAAACACCAAGTATTTGTTTTTCTAAAACAATTCCCAAATGTGCAAGAAATTTACAACTTGACTATGTTTTCATAGCAATCCTTATAATCCCCATTCTCAATTTCTGTTTCAGTTTTGAAAAATCACTGGCATTTTTATTGATGTTTCTAGTATTGGAAAATAACTGGTATACTTAATAATATTTGTTACATGGCAGAGTAAGAGAGGGAAGAGGAGAAGGTGTTATCTTACATGCTCATGAATAAATTATATTCAGTTCCTTCCCTTCCATTGTCTCTTCCTACTTCAGATCCAGGAAGAATTAGGAGTGGAGGTAGGAGGGAGAGATGTCAGGATAGAGTTACCATTGATACATGTAGCATCACAAACTAATAAATAACTCATAAATCCTCTGCTTCTTCCTCTCCTTCCTTTCTCCTGACATTTCCTCAGTAGAATCGGTGACAATTTTGAGACAGCCTGGTCTCATATCACATTCAGGGAACTCTGCCTCTGAATTCTTAAAACCATGGGGATGCACTTGGGTATGACCTGCTTGATTGTATGCAAATTAAAAGCAGATGCCAGCAAGGAGAACATTCCAGCCCAAATCCAAAGCTACCCCAAAGGAGTGGAGCATGAAGGCACTTGCTGTATTGGAACAGTCATCTATATATTATAGCAGGGGAAAGCCTTGATTCCATTCCAGGAAATCTTCACAGACCATTGAAGATGAGGCGGTTTCTTATTGGGTGTAGCCCAGCCACATGGATGGCAGAAGCCAAAGATGGGCTAAGGGGGCTAAAAGCTACCATATCTGCTTCTGACTGCCAAGTGTCTGAAAAGACCTTTTCACTAGACTGGTAACAGAGCCGCTCTCCTCCCAGGGAGTGGGGATGGGAGAGGCCTAAGCCGTATCTATGCATTTCAGCTGGTCAGTCATCAGGGAGGCATTTAGGGGCCCTCAAGCTACCTGATCACCAGTACTGGCCCAACATTTGCAGCAAGGTCTTGAAATCCTCATCAGAGGTCTGTGAATCCTAACGTACCTATACTCAAAGGCCAGTTGGGAAACAAAGAGCATAAACTCGACTTTGTAAAAGGATCTCTTCCTCCTCACATTGGAAAAATGCCTGAATGTACCTTTCCACTACAGAAGTCATTTATATACCCTTTTAACCTTCCTCTATGCAGAAAGTGACAAAGGAGACAGGAATAAGTAAAATAGTGAGCTTTCTGATCTCCCCACCATGTAGCCAAAAAAATGTATGTGGACGTGGAAACATTTACTTTCATCCTTATAACAGATCTGATACTCACTTAAAAAAAAAAAAAGTAGTAGTTTTACTACTTAGGAATTTAATAGTTCTTTTTTTTGAGATGGAGTTTCACTCTGGTCGCCCAGGGTGGAGTGCAATGATGCGATCTCAGCTCACTGCAGTCTCCCCTTTGTGGGTTCAAGCGATTCTTCTGCCTCAGCCTCCCAAGTAGCTGGGACTACAAGCATGCACCACCATGCCCGGCTGATAATGTATTTTTAGTAGAGATGGGGTTTCTCCATGTTGGTCAGGCTGGACTTGAACTCCCAACCTCAGATGATCTACCTGCCTCGGCCTCCCAAAGTGCTAGGATTATAGGCGTGAGCCACTATGCCCAGCCCAAATGAAACCATTTCTAAGGCAAATAGGACATGTTTACATGGTGAAGGGAAGGAGATAGGTGAAAGGGAGATTTGAAGACTCTGAAGCAAAAAGGTCGACATCTTTTTTCGCCTATCATATTTTTATATGTAAATAGAAGGAGACTTTTATTTTTCTTAAAAGATGGTCACAATATTATTGCACACCTAAGAAGAAACATTAATTCCTCACTATCATCAATTATATCCAGGATAGCTTTGTTTTTCTTACACTTTGAATAAGAATTCAAAGTCCATATATGTCGATTGTGCAGTGTTTCTTATAAATCTCTTTCCATCTAAAGGTGCCGGATCCAGGGCAAAAATGAAGAAATATGGGACCCTGGGCAACAAGGAAGAAGCTCCCATGCAGCATGTGGGATGGACCCAAGGAGAATGCCAAAGGGAAAGAGTTCAGTCTGGTGCCTCCTGAAACAGGTGAGCTACACCTGGACACGAAGGATCCCATCCATCCTTCAAGAGTGTCGCTGAGGCAGGAATGAGAAAACAAAACAAAACAAAAGGGGAAGAAAGTGCAATTCTCATGGAAGTTGGTTCCAGCTCGTTCCATAGAACCTGGCCTAACTTTATCTTCAAGAATGTGACCTGACTTCGCTTCCCACTCACAAGGTATCACCTTTGACATTTCTATCGGGGTCCAGTCAAAAGAAACAACAGCCTGTGTTTCAAAGGTGGCAGCATGCTGACGAAGCAGGGTGAAGTATGCAAGGAATTGGTTCCTCCAGGGCTCACGGCAAGACCTTACAGAGAAAGGAGTCAGCCAAGGGAAAATGACTGGCATGTGGAAGAGTCTGCAAGAGCTGGACCAAGTCCGCAAGGTCCAGTCAGTTCTCCAAACATCAAGACCCTGTGCGGTGAGGGTGAGCCATCTCAGCAGGCAGGTATACCTCCCTGCCCATGCCACTGCCAACACTTCCAGACCTTCTATTCCCTTTTTCCCCAATCCCACCCAAAGCTCTAGTTCCAGCAAATGTGGGAGTGCAACAAATGCAATCACCTGGGGTGATGGCAGCAGCCCTGAACTTGGACTTAGAAGACCTGGCTTTAAATTCTGCCTCTGCACTCACTGGTTGTATGACCAAAGGCGATTTACCTCCCCCTCACTTTCCCCATTTGTGAAATGGGGTAAATAAGAGTCCTACAGGATTCACAAGGTTATGAGGGTGAAATAGGATTGAGAGATGAGAACCCTTTAACTTCTCTGCAATACTAGTGATGATAATAATTAAAGTAACTTACTTGCAAGATAATGTGAATGGCCATTACCTGGCCTTTAATCCTTAAGCAAGTGTTTATTCTTTAAAAGGAAAAGTTTGTCAAACCAAATGAATCCTCTTGGTGAACTACACAGAGAACATATTTTGGAGAGTGATGGTAGGCCACCTCCTCTGGCCCTTTCTAACAGGCTGGGGCTAGGATGGGAGGACCTTTTATTCTGGTCTTATTTTTGTTTCAAAGGGAAATGTGGTCTCTCTGAGGAAGGAGGGCAGACAGGCAGTATATCTTCTCACGTCTTTGTGCATCATTTTTATTAGTTCATGACTCACTTTTTTAAAAAAGATTATTTACTCTTAAATGACACACTTTCACACACGAAAGCATGCTTTTCTAAATGGAAGCCATTGGACCTTATGGTGTGGTCAGTGTGTTCAGTCTGAAAATTCTATGGTGACACATGGCTGTGGTCCTGTGGTGATGTACATCTTCCTTCTTGTCTGGTTAGCGCCCTGTGAGCTGAGAGGTTCAAATTTGATAGCAGCTGAAAGCTTCAGACCTACAGTCCTCCAAGCTGGGACGCTGAATTGCTGCCCTAGAGCTGCATTTATATTGATTTTCTGAATGCTGTCACTGCAAATGAGCTAGCTAACTTTTCTCAAAATATTTTTCTCATCTTTTTTACTTTCTCTAGTTGGACATACGGAGTTATAAATGTACTTTCTGGTTTTGTGTTATGCCTCGATTTTTATTTTTGATGATTCTATCAAGCTGGCTGCCTCCAATGTTTTCTCCATTTAGTAAAATACACTACTTCCTATATTCCTCACTTCCCACCATCAGATATTCCCTCTCCTGGCCCACGCCTTGTGCCTGGCATGTGGGAGCACTGGAGATGCCCTGCACCAGAAGTCCATACCTTAATGTCCTCAAATAAATAAATGAATTTAAGGAAGAAAGTCTGAAGTAAACTGGGGCCGAATTATACAGTAGTTTGTGTCACAACATTCTAATCAAAGCTAGGGAATTTAGTAATGATCCCTATCTAAAGCCCTAAAAGCATGTTTCTTGGTTAATTTCTTAACCATCATGAGTTTTAGTGAAAATTACTACCTTCAATATAATGCTACAAATAGATTAATTGCTAAGAGTAAAAGATTTGGTCTCTTTTCTTTCTTTTCTTTCTTTTTTTTTCTTTTTTTAATTAATTGTAAATAGCAACTTTAAAAGGATCTTTTTTTAAAACAACAGTCGTTAAAAAAAAAAAAAAGCTAAATGTCATAGTGCCCTAAATTCTTCTTATTGGTGATTATGTTGTATGTCAAGAAACCATCCTGAGGTGATAATTAGATTTTATCTGCAAATGGAGGTGGGAGGATGAGAGTAGGTGGTAGCCTCAACATTTCACCAAAACAATAGGCAATTCACACGATGAGGTAGGAAAAACATTACTCAAACAGGTGGCTTGGGCTACTGTGTGATTAAGGAGATTTTGACACTGTAATGATCTAGGGTGGGTATCTATTTTATTTGCCTCTCTATGGCCAGACATTTAGGAAGGCAAACTGGGGCAAGAGGAAAAGCAGGAAATAAATGAATGATAACTAACACGTAAAATATCTCTGTTGCTGATCATCATTGAAGTGAATAAAACAGACCATAAACACCCGTTTTTTCCCACAAAACTTTTCAACAGATGGTTATACTAGTTGTTTCAGAATTAATACAAGGATTGAGGGTTGGAGGCGATGCAACTCAGAAGCAGTGCTGGTGTGAAAGTGACAAGGTTTTTGGCTCCAAGTAACACCTCCCAATTTGCACAGCAACCACAATAGAAATGTGCTTCAGGCAAGGTGGTGTCCTACATTTTAACTTACCCCTAAGAAAATATCCTGAATTTCACAGGTGTTCACAGTAATATGACCTGACTGAAAATAGCTTCTCTTCTGTATTTTTCCCCAGGTTAAAATTAAGCCCGGCAGGCTCGATGCAAACGTGCAGACAAAGCAAAGCAGGAAGCCTCCCACACTAAAAAGGGAAGATAAGAATCACAGAATCCGGGATGGTTTTTATTGAAGGGCATTTCAAGGCAAATACAGACATCTATAGCATATTTGTAAATCCTCCAAATGTGTATGGAAACACACACCTTCACACATCAAAACGGATTTGTTCCTGAGTAACAAAACGTCCTGAAAACAAAACGAAAACAAACACAATAGCAGAAAAATACTTCTAACGTATACCACAAAGGATTATTTAATAACCTCAACACACCAAGAGTTAAGAAAATAATGCAACAGAAACAAAGGGCAAAGGATATGTATTGGAAAGACCACAGAGGAAGAAATTGCAAATCGCTAGTAATATAAATTATTTCCTAGGTTCAATAGTGACCAAGTAAAGACAAAATTACACTTTTGACATCTTAGACTGGCAGTGACAAAGATTATTTGAGCGACCAAACTATAGTCAGGCTCCTGAACTTTCTCGTAGGTCCATCTGGGCACTTCCTCATAAAATACAGTTTTAGCAAAACCCCTGTTAAATTGGTTTACCAAAAACTGTCACCCTCCATCAAGTTCCTTATTTCTTCACCTTTTCTCAGGTGAGGCCTGGCCACCCTGACCTGTGTTCAGCAAGAGTGCCCTAACCCCGACGTTTCCTCTTAGTAATTTTCCATCCACCAACATCCACTTACAATTTGTAGCCAAGGAGCAGCATACATCGCTCCTTGGCTGTAAATTATTTTCCCTGTTACATTCAGAGTTGAGCCCAGTCTCTCTCTCCAACCGCAAAATCCCACGGCAGTGGTTCCTATACCTATTGACACGGTCCTAAATAAAACCTGCCCTACGGTGCTTTAACAAGTGTCATTGAATAATTTTTTAACAGCAAATTGTTGGAGGTAAAGACATTTTTTAATATCTTCAATTAGTTTAGCTACTTCCACATAATGTTAGAGTTTCCATCAATTTGCTAGTTACTGTCCCTTCCTAAGAAGAGGCAGACACCATAGCCTGCATCATACTGTGGATTCACTCCTAAGTTGATATTGATACGAATGAAATAGTTAATCTCTCAAACTTTGCTTTCTACATTTTTTTTGAGACGGAGTCTCGCTCTGTCGCCAGGCTTGAGTGCAGTGGTAAGATCTCAGCTCACTGCAACCTCCACCTCCTGGGTTCAAGCAATTCTCCTGTCTCAGCCTCCCAAGTAGCTGGGACTACAGGAGGGCACCACCATGCCCAGCTAATTTTTTTTGCATTTTTAGTCGAGACGGGTTTTCACCACATTGGCCAGGATGTTCTCCATCTCCTGACTTCGTGACCCGCCTGTCTTGGCCTCCCAAAGTGCTGCTATTACAGGCATGAGCCACCACGCCCAGCCTGCTTTCTGCATTTTTATCAAAAAACATTTGCAGGGACATGGATGAAGCTGGAAACCATCATTCTCAGAAAACTAACACTAAAAGAGAAAACCAAACAGTGCACGTTCTCACTCATAAGTGGGAGTTGAACAATGAGAACACATGGACACAGGGAGGGGAACATCACACACTGCGGCCTGTCAGGGTGGTGGGGGGCTAGGGGAGGAAGAGCATTAGGAGAAATACCTAATGTAGATAATGATGATGGACGCAGCAAACCACCATGGCATGTGTATACCTATGTAACAAACCTGCATGATCTGCACATGTACCCCAGAACTTAAAGTATAATAATAAAAAAAAAAACATGATGTCCCCCTCCCCAACCCTGCTCCCACCTGTCCCACCACTGGATCCCCAGTCTCACTCGGAGAAAGTGTCAATGTCATTGCAATTGTGTACAGGGGCCCAATCCGGGATTCTTTTTGTTCCTTGGAGCCTTTGCCCTTGCTCTTCTCTCTGCCTGGAAGGTTCTCTCCTTCACTTCTCTCAGAGCTTGCTTCAAATGTCACCTTCGCGGTGGGGCCTGCCTTGGTTGCCATACTTAAGGCTGCAATCTCCACACCTTCACCCCGGCACGCCCTGTCCTCTTCCTCCACTTTGTAACCACCATCTAATATTGTTTATTTAGCTTGTGTACGGTCTCTCTCTCCCAGCAAAGACTCTCTTCTTGTTCAAACTCCGGTCAGCTCCCCTGAGCCTTCTTCTCAACTACGCCTCAACCTCGGCCTATAAAGACTTGAATAAAACACAAATACCATTTCAAATAGCTCAAGGCTGCATCTCTAGAATGACTTTAACCCCTCTTAAAATGCCTGCCTAACTCAAAACTTTCCAAATAATTTACTGTTTGTTCATCTAACGTCTGAAGATGGGGCTCCCCCCGTCTCCAGCCTCTGTGGGAGGGTGGGAGCCTGACTGCCACAGGCGCCAGTCAACAAATCCGGATGCTTTACGAGCACCAACTCCCTCTTCCTGCTTTGTGTGATTTTTTTCACTTCCCTGACTTCACTGAACCTCTGCTCACCTCCCTCTCTATTCCTTCATTCTCTCTTTAAAATGCAGTCACTTCTGTACAAATTGCAGTTGTTCAGTTCACACTGAACAGTCCTCTATTGCAATAGTCTATCACGGATTAAAATCTCTCCTTGCCGCTTTATCTTTGATACCCTCACTATAATGCAGTCTCCATGAACTGGATTTTTGTTTTCTCATGGGCACAAAATAGAGACTCAGCAAGTACTTGCTGAACCTTGTTGATGGGTCAACAGTGGTGCATGGGTTTTAGCCCCTAAGCCACATTTCTGGGCTGGGCTAAGCATGTTTAAGCATCTGGATGAAACATCATCGCTCATTTCACACCTTAAATACCTGGCAAGTGACAGGCGGCTGGACATCAGAGATCATGTCGGTCTTCCTAAAGGTTTCTTCAATTTGTTTTTTTGTTTTGTTTGTTTGGTTGGTTAGTGTTGTTGTTTTTTTGTTTTTGTTCTTTTTTTGAGATGGAGTTTTGCTCTGTTGCCCAGGCTGGAGTGCAGTGGCACGATCTCGGCTCACCACAACCTCTGCAATTCTTCAGCTTCAGCCTCAGCCTCCTGGGCAACTGGGACTACAGGTACTCGCCACCATGCCTGGCTCATTTCTGGAGTTTTGGTAGAGACGGGGTTTCACCATGTTGGCCAGGCTGGTCTCAAACTCCTGACCTCAAGTCATCCACCTGCCTCAGCCTTCCAAAGTGCTAGGATTATAGGTCTGAGCCCCTGCATCTGGCCTTCAATTTGTTTTTAATTCTAATAGAGCACCATCTGCTACATGCTTAGTATCAGCCATAAACAGACATAACTGAGCACAGAATAGCATGTTAATGAAAGATTACTACCGGGTGAAGAGTGTTTGCTTCACAGGAACTTTTCTTGTTGATTGTTGTTATTTCCCCACCTCTCGACCCTTTATTTCCATTTGCAGTTTTGGTCCTTAAACTTCCCTTCAACTCCAGCTCCCTCAGGGACTCTCTGGGTTTTCATTCTTAGAACTTCGTCAAAAATGCTTTGGCTGTGAATTCCAGTGACTTCCTTCAGATGCAGTCTGAAGATGTCCTTACAGTTTTTACTCTTTAGGTTCTCTTAGGTGATCTGGGGGCCATTAACCTCCCTCACCACACTCTTTCTTCTAATTTTCTTTCCCCCAGCTGTGGCTCCTCACCATTTTTAGTTGACTACAAATTCTCCCGAGTATAATCAGTTGCTTTCCAACAAATGCTTTCTAAGCAACTACCAGGGATGAGGCACTATTGTGATTATGAAAGTCTACTACTCAAAGGAACTCGAAGAGAGGGAGACAGTCTATACTCACATGAAAAGTTAAAGTTTACTGCATAGTGCTTGCTGAACAAATGATTAAGCAAGCGCTATGCAGTAAACTTTAACTTTTCATGTGAACAAAGCTATGTAGGAAAATTCCAGTGATACCCAAGGCAATAATAAATGGTCACATTATTAATTCAGCCAGCAAGTCAAACGCCTCCATTTAGAGCTGTCACCTCCCCCATTACGACATTTCTCTCTTCTACAGGGTGTTTTCGATGGGTATTATAATATCGACCACAGATAACAAAATTAACATGTCTTCTTATTGCAGTCTCAACCCTATTTTCCAACAGCTTCATAATTATCATTCCCACCACTGACATTCTGATACTCAGGTGTATCTCAGTCTCTTCGGTCTCCCTACAAGGAGATTCCGACGTTCAATCCGTGGAGGCAGAAGTTCCGAAGGTCTCCCTCCTTCCTCTTCCTGCCGTCACAGCCCTGATCTGTGTGTCAAGAAACCCAGCTCATCTTGCTCAGCCTCACCTTTTTCCAGTCTACCAAAGGCATATCAGACACTGAGAAATTAAGGATTAAAAATGCTCCACAATTGTAACACTTTTCGAAAGTCCACAGGAATCCACACTTGTCTGGGTGACGATATCTTATTTCCACAGTGAAATCAGGTATTTTTGAGAGTGGGAGAACACATTCACATGATTCTGACACTATAGCTATTAGTTATTGCTGTCCTTACTGTACCTAATTTTAAAATTAAAGTCTATCATAGGTATGTACACATAGGAAAAAGCACAGTGCACAGATAGGGTTCAGCAGGTGACATCTGCAGTTTTCCGGCATCCTCTGTGGGTCTTGGAATGGTTCCCCCACGGGGAAGAAGGGACTGCTGTCTATGCAGCTTCTACTCTTTGTTTTTTTAATGTTTTGGGTAAAGTCACTTTGAAGAACGGATTTGAGTTTTCAGTGAATAAAGTGTTTTAGTCTTTGGGGTTTTTTTGTTTTTGTTTTTGTTTATTTGTTGGAGGCAGGGTCTCACTTGGTCATCCAGGCTGGAGAGCAGTGGTGAGATTATGGCTCACTGTAGTCTCGACCTCCTGGGCTCAAGTGATCCTCCTGCCTCAGCTCCCCAAGTAGCTGGGAGTACAGACACATGCCACCATGTCCAGCTAATTTCTGTATTTTTTCTAGAGATGGGGTTTCACCATGTTGCCCAGGCTGGTCTTGAACTCCTGGGCTCAAGCCATCTGCCCACCTTGGCCTCCTCAAGTGCTTGGATTACAGGCATGAGCTACTGCACCCAGCCCTAATCTTTGTTTGTTTTTAAATCTATTCCTGCCTCTTAATTGTACAATCCTCTAGATACTAGATCCTAAAGCTTTTTCAGAGAAAGTCCCAGAAGCCAATTCATATGGACACTCTTGAAGCAAAATATTTTGTGTAGGTAAAAGTTCTAAAGCCATGCTCTCTCTAAATTCTTCAGAGCATGAATTGGTTTAGATACTTCATCAAAAAACTTCATCAAAAAAATGTGACACCCCTGCACCCACTATTTGCTATATAGATAATATATAGTAAGGTTTGCCACGCAGGAAAGCAAAAGTAGACTTTTAAGTAGCATGGAAGTTGCTACTTAAACTACAGATGGAATGTTGAGGTACATTAGTGCTATAAGGAATCAGTCCTTACAATAGTTGACAAGCCCACCCCTTCCCTTGAAGTGTGGTCTGAGGACCAGCAGCATCAGCAAAACCTAGAAGCCTGTTAGAAAGAGGACAAGCTCAATTCCCACTCCAAACCTACTGTGTTTTAACAAGATCCCCGGGTGATTCATATGTTAGAATCTGTACGAGAAAGTCTACATTAGATATGAGAAATGCTACCTTAGATAATACGACTGTCACTGAATCATATGTGAACTTGAGTGAAGCTCTGGTCAGCAGGCCATTATGTTTGATTTCAGTCGTCCGCTGGTGCATTGAAACATCACTGCAACTCCCACCTAGCAAAACATGGTGCTTTCTGGTATGGCTGACTGGGACTCTCAGTTTTCATCCTTTGTGGCGTCCCTTTCTTGCCTATTGTCTATTAACAGTGCAGCAAGGTGATCATGGCTGAAAACCACAGCCTAGGAGTAAGAGCTTGCTTGGTGAGGCCGGGAACCGGCTGAATCATACCGAGACACCCCACCCCCACTCCTAGGCACTACTTTAACACAGGTGAGGGCCTGCAAACATGAACATCAAGGGAAGCCTTAGAAGAAGAAGGCTTAATGAGCAACTGTTAAAGTAGGCGTGTGCAGTTGAAGGGAGGAGTGGCAGCCAGGC